TCCGGCGCCAAAATTTTACCACTGGGTTCTCTGGTCAAATGCCACCCCAGGACCGCTGTACCAACTTTCACACACGTCTAAGCTATACTTATGAACGTGGAAAAGTTTTGACAGGGGAACTGCTAACTCAGGAACCAGAAAAGCTAGAAAGCTGAGATTTTGCAGTTATGTTCCAGGCTTACATAGAGCTCAAAGATTTCAAATTCAGCCTTCAGGATGCGTGGTTCTCACGTACGGTTCCGTGAAGGTTCCCATCAGGAAAATCGCTAAATTGAGAAACAAGAAAGCTACGAGGTTGAAATTTAAGGGAATTTTCCCAGTCACATACAAATTAAAGTTTTCAAATTCATCCCCGACGTATGTGTAGTTCTCACATATGGCCCCGTGAAAATTTTTGGCAAGAAAATTGCTAACTCGAAGACCAGAAAAGACAGAAAACTAAAATTTTGAGGGGATGTTCCCTGACCAACTGCCATTTAGGTGCACAATTAATTTCCTAAACTTCGAGGAAAAGTATGCGATAAATTCCAGCTGCTGGGACTCTGAGCAATCATACAGCAGCACGAAATACTGCACAAATGCATGATCGCATGAGCCCGCCCGGTGCATTTCGCGAATCATTTTCCAAATTGAAGGATTTGAGATTGTAAAGCCATTTTAGATCTTATTTGTTGGAGTAACGAAAAGAAATTTTGTCTAGTATTAAAATTTTCTCTTCTTAAATTTCATTTATTAACTCCGCGCGACTTATGTAGCAAATCAATCACTATTTCATAAAAGTGAAGTGGCGATTTGCGAAGAGACTGCAGTTGTCAAGAAAATGTACTGTTCCTTCTCTTTCCCCAATCGATTCCGAACCTCCTGCAGCCTTGAAATACAATATTAAAATGAGCGTGGATGCGAGTCCAGCGTCACGTGAAAATTTTTTTGTCCATCCTAAAAGCTGTTTGTTTTAGCTTTGTTTTGCCAGCGTCTCAAAGCATTTATTTTTTACTATAAGCGGAAAATAATTGAAAGCGCTCCAAATAGTAACCTGCACCAAAAATAATCGGCACGTTGACAGGCTGTTGATGGTTTCCTGCAGGTGTTTAAAAAACCCAGGCGGGAACGCACTAGGCGGGCCGGTGCAATTATGCGTTTTTGCACTTTTCGTGCCATAACAAGATTGGAAGGAATCACAGAGTGGCAAAAACGCATAAAAACTGTTGACAACTCTGGTTCCTTGACATCTATTCGCACCAGTTTATCATCGCACCGAATAAGCAATTGATTTGCGAGCTTTTCGAGACCGATTACCCCATGTCTCTGCTTCTATTTAATGCTTTCAGATAATTGGCGACGAGAAAACGAAGGAAACAGCTGTGTTTGATAATCTCCACAAAATTATATGGGCACCAATACCGTACCTGGATGAAGAAGTAGTGTATTATACAGCATCGTCTGTGCCATCCGGCTATCATAACGTATATTCAGAAGGCGAATATATCGTCTTCGTTACAGGCAGCATCGATGGTGTTGCATATAGTTTTGTGCCTACACATAACAGTGCGTTTTTCTTTCTTTTCAAAACTTTTTTCGATGGGTAGAGAAGGCGACTTCGGGAGCCAGAAAGAATAAAGATCTGAAAATTCTCAGAGATGTTCTGAAATTTTCTGTGCATGGCGGGAAAACTACTAATTCGGGGATCAGAAACGCTAGAAAGTCCAAATTTTTGGGGGAATATTTCCTGTCCAAATACAACTTAAATATTTCAAATTCAGCCTCCACGTATGCGTCGTTCTCAAGTACAGGCAAATGAAAGTTCTGGTGAAAAAGATGCTCATTAGCTAGGCCATTTTCAAAGAATGACTGTTAAACGGAAATTGCTCATTTTCTTTATGCAAAATTTACGGTGATTTGCGCTAGTTAGCACGAAAGGTAGGTGTAAATCAATAGCCATTCATGAACTTATCGACCTGAGTACTTCAATTCTGGCGCAAAAACGCATGATCGCACCGGCAAGCCTGGTGCATTTCCAGCCTGAGTTACAGACTAGTCAGCATATCATTTTTTAACAGTGTCACTTTTGCGTCGAAGAATTATGCTGATGTGCAAAGCAATAAGAATGAGTCAGTGGTATGGTCTCCTCGCGCCCTCTCTCCCTCTTCCTTCGCTCTCAAAAGCACTGTGCAGAGCTTGAAGTATTAAAAAGCAGTTACAATTCACAGTGGACGGTCATGGCTTCACATTCCCGCTGACGGTATAACTTGTAATTCCCGTGTCTGTCTTCAAGAAACAATTTGTGTTGCATTCCTTAGTCAAAAACACAGGACAGGCTCTCAGCACTCATTTTTGAAAATATTATTTTAAATTTTTTTAAATTCAAACCATCTTCAGCGATCTTGCTCTGAAAGATATAGGATGGCAAACGCAAAATGTCTGGATACGCTAGATTTGATTGGTGACTTATCCGTTGCGCCTACTAGAACTTCTCGCTTTCCTAATTTTTTTTACGTTGGCTGGAACCTCACATTTTCCACATATCTCTAACATCTAAGACATTGGCAGTAATAGTCGGAAACGGGCACAAGAAATTTTGTAGCCTTGCCAAACTTTTGACACACAGGATTTCAAATGTTACTTGTCGAGATCATTTTGTCGATCTCGAAGTTAAGAAATTGTAGCTGCCGAAAGTTAGAATATTTTCTTGTGGTGGAATATATCTGCTCCAATCAGACCCGCTCACCATGCGTGGACCATTTCATTTTCTCAGAAATAGATCCGTAACTGAAATTATTTCAGAGCAAACATGGCAGCCGATGCCGGTGCTACCAACGACAGCCTCCCCTATCTCAACTCCGAGTCCACAGCGTTAGTAAATTTATGTACGTTTGTAAAGATCCGATATTTACGTCTCCCACCAATTCAGATTTAATTTTCTTTTTCTTCTTTTTCGAGATGCTTGAGCTATAGGAGTTTTCTATCTTTACTGTATAGACATTTATCAAGTTGTTTTGGAATCACTGTAGACTGCACTAATGAAATGAGAAATTATGGTTAGATGCAAGTTTGTCACAAAAGTTCATTCCTTACAGTGGTGAAATAAGTAATGCTTATGCATCAATAACAATAAATAATAAATAGTCACACGCACCAGTTGGTCGATCGTGCGCTTAATGCAGCCGTTTCCACTGAACGGTTGCACAATTTCGTTCGATAGGCGCTTTTTGCAGCCCTGTGCAGTTGATGCTTGTGCAACTCTGTTCAGAGAAACATGCTGTTAAAAGTGTCCATTGCATTACTGTTTGATACGTTACATGTTAATTTTGAGAAGAGAACTTTCACTTGAACGTACCTGAAATCAAGGCGTGCGCAGGAATGAATTTATGCGTGGACAGGGAGTTTGTTAGTGCACATTCCAGTCTCCTAGAATTTGTAGTTTTTGAGTTATTAATCTTAGCGCCAGAGCTTCTGCGTACTCAAATCTTAGAACTAGCGTGCCTGGCGGCTGAATTTGTACGTAGGCGGGAGTATTGTTCCGAAATTTTAGCTTTTTAACTTTCACGGTCTCGAATTTATTAATTTTGACGTCCAAGAATTTAAGTACCCTTACATGTGATCCATGCATACGTTGAAGCTAGGTTTGAGTCTTCGAGATTATACGTGGGCAACGGGCATTCCCTCAAATTTCCAGTCTCCTAGCTTTTCTGACTGACGGGTTATTGATTTTGGCGCCAAAAATTTCACGTGTCCTTGCGTGACATCCATGCATGCGAGAAAACTGAATTTCAGTTTGCTGGATCATACATGGGAGACGGACATTCTCCCAAAATCGCAACGTTTCACCTTCTGTGCTTCTCGAGTTATTAATTTAGTCGCCGAAATTTTCGCGTGATTGTGCGTGAAATCCGGGCACGTTGAATTTGAATTTGCGAGATCACGCATGGATAAGGGGTCCCTCAATAAAGTTTCAACTTTCTAGCTTTTCTGGTACTCGAGTTGAAACCCTGGATAAAATGCACTCGTGATACACACACAGAAACAGACACACACGTACACAAACACATAGAGCCTCGATCACTATGCGTTTCGTTCTGCAATGGTTGCAGCACAAAACGCATAAAAAAGAAGATAGTCATTGGCGGCGCGCACCAGGCTGGCGCTTGCGATCATGTGTTTTTGCGGTATTTCTTGTTGTCATCAGATTGTCTAAAGTCCCAGTAGCTAAAATTTATGACATATTGGTTGTCGAAGTTTAGGAAATTAATTGTGCAAATGCATAGCAGTGGTCAGGAAACATCCCCTCAACATTTTATCTTTCTGCCTTTTCTGGTCTTCGAGTTAGTAATTTTCTCGCCAAAAATTTTCGCGGAGCCATATGTGAGAACCAAGCATAACTGACACCTGAATTTGAAAACTTTAAATTGGACGGGGGCTTGGAATATTTTCTTAAAACTTCAGCCTCCCGGCTTTTCCAGTTAATGAGCTAGCAATTTCCCCATCAAGTCTTTCATTTATCCGTACGTGAGAACGATAATCAACTAGGAGCCGAATTTGAAATCTTTAGCTCATACGTGCACGGAGAATGTCCATACAAGGTTTTGGCCCTCTTTCTTGTCTGATTCCCGAGATCCTTTTTCTTCCAAAAAATTTACATATTTTTAAGGCGTCCGTACGAGGGCCTGGGAGTACGCAGATGATGATATTTAAACTAGAGGGTCGCACATGGCATGGGCACATACTCCCGAGTTTCCAGCCTTTTAGCTTTTCTGGTTCTCGAGTTGGAAGTTGAGACAAAAAATGCGAACACACAGGCAGCCTGTTGTCAACATGCATTTGCACATATGAAAAACATGAAAAAAAGCTATAAAAAGAAGCCCTGACGATATGCGAGTTATGTTAAAAATATGTCTTTTTTTTGCTACTTCCGTGCTCATTTATATTATCAATTAAAATTATTTTAAGTGACGACAACATCGGAGTCTATTAGTGACGTGGTCAGCGCAGAAACGTTCGGAACTATGTTTAGCTTCGTCATTCCGTCCAGCGGTACAAATCAAACCGCTACGCTCAGTGGTTCTATTACTATCATCAATCCAGGAGACCAGTGGAACAACATTACCATACGATACTCGCCAAATGCAGGAATGTATCCTACTGAGTTATATATGTCTCCGCTTTCGTCACATACGGTATGCTATACGCTTGCTCCCGAAAGTGTTACCTTTTCATAACAATTAGTCTCTTTTTGACATGCCGATTCACAGCTGAAAAATATTTTGAGCAAAGCTAATACATTTGTCTCTTAAATTTTTTGCAAAATCCATGAGTTATCTGACGAACGTCGACTAAAATATGCACACCGATAAGGCTTGAGCAAATCAGCGTTACTTTATCATAACAGTACCTACTTCCAGTTTTAATGGACAATTTAGTATTTGAAGTTGATACTTTAGGCTTTGATCTCCACCCTACAGCTGCATCTTGAGGCTGCCAATTGACAACGGTGTTGAGTTTGTTAAATTTTGTTTGCTCCTACACGAAATACTTTTTCAACCAACGCGACTGAAACACTGTTTTTAAAACTAACGTGTTTTTAAAAGCATTTCATTTTCTTTGTTTCGCTGTGAAAGCAGAAAGTTCTCAGCTTCAGAATTTTGCTTCGCTGGGGATGTCTTATGATAGCATCTAATACCAATTTATCTCTAATCCGTCATTTGGCTCCCTCAGGTATCAAAACTTATACCATTGTTGTTTAGATAAAATTGAACAGCTCAGCGCTAAGTGTGTGTAAGGGATGGGGATTGGTCAGTTGTCCGGATGACCGCATAAGCATCAGCTCGCTTCACGTTATCTCTGTTATGGCCAGCAGTTACTCAGCGAATGAGGCTGGCGACAGCTTCCTCGGTAAGGTTCACTTTCGATAAGTGCATAATAAGCGGCAGTTTATTGTATCTCTATTCTTTACTTAACTGATCATTTGTGTCTCGAAATGAAAAGTGAATACGCTGCCACATCAATGTCTCATATATTGTCTTCCAGCTTAAATGCTGGGTCTTGGATTATCTTCGATGTTTCAGTTGCGTGCACATTATTCAGTCCCCACTTAATACATTTGAACACATCTGATTCAACTGTGTCTCCAAGTTTATCAACGCTAAGTTAAAAATGGAGTATGTCAGGAAGTCCAATCTGCCATCAGCTTCTGGGCAGCTTTTGAACGAACAGGACATCCAATGTCTTGCCAGTGCATAGTTGCTGTTGGCATTTGCTATCATTCCGGCTCTTTCAAGCGTCTTCGCCCCTCGCAGGGAATAGAATGTTAAATTTTTGTCTCTGAGTCTGGTTTACTAACCCCCAAATGAATGACTGGTGCGTAATGGCATTAATTCTGTTGAGCATTTAGTGATGCCAATTTCAATGGCGAGTACCAGTTATGCAGTGACGTTGCCAGAGCCCAGTGATGACGGATCAGTATTTGCATATTTGTTGCTGGCTGGAGTTGACGAAGCTCAGGTGGATGTCG